TCCCCCCCCCCCCCCCTTTTTCCTCCTTTTTTGCAGTACCAAGAAAAGCCTTGATACATGCCATCGCAGACAGTATCAAAATGTACAATGGGTTAGAAAAGAATAAGCAAAGATTTTTCTTTTTGCTGCTTCTGTCTCAGATTTCAGTTGTGCTCTGATGCCGCTCTACTGTTCAGGACTTGTCCGATACAAAAAGCGCTCTGGAACAAGCTGTCTTGCATTAATTTAAAAGAGATGTGTCTGCAAGACACAGCATCCCCAGCAACAATAAATGCAGAAGGTCAAAGCCTGCTTGGTCCAGGCATCTCTTAGAGGATCATGTTCTGTTGCACACCTCACCCACCATCAACGCTCTTCTCCTTTTTACTTGTCCCTAACCACGTGAGCAGGGACATTTAGGGAGGGGACAAATTCTTGTCCTTAGCTTTCAAGAGGGACCCCATGGTCAACTCACCAGCACGCGATCTCCAAGTCGTAAGTCCTTCTCCCCTTTTTTCACAGACCCACTGTCCGACAGGTTAGATCCAGACTCGTTGCCAGTCTTCATGGCGCTGTTCAAGACGCTCTCCCGCAGGGGGATGACGCGAGTGGAGAGAGGTGGCGTGGCCGTCCCTGAGTGCAGTGACAAGTTCTGAGCCGTGAGGGAGTCCACGGAGTGGGCGTCGCTCCCTGAGCCTTCGGCCACCGGTTGCCGCGTCAGCTTGGAAGGTCGCGTAAAAATCCCCTGCAGCGGCTGGCATTCAAAGTAACGTACTCCACCAACAGAGCCGTCATTCTTACCCACCGGGTCATCCAGAACGACCCCTGCCCACTGGCCTGGAGCAAACTGCGTCTCCCCAAGATACTGGATCACACCTGGCTTCACTCCATTTACCCAGACACGTTCGCCCACCACAAAGTCTCCCAGGAAATCATCGCCCACCTCGGCAACCTTTGACCCCGACTTCTCAGCGCTGGCGGTGGAGGTGGTACCCTGCTTGTGTAAAGGTGAGCCTGTGAATCAAGGGAAAAGAGGATTTGGTATGAGGAGAAAACCTAAGGCAGCTAAAATACTAGGAAAGGGCATTAAAAAGGAGACATCTGGGACCATGATTTGGTTCGCAGATTCACCCTGGGCAAAAGGTGAGAACCTGAGTAACCCCATTACTTACACGTCTTCCTTGCCTGGAAAGTAGCTGGCAGTGAACTTTCCATAGTCTGCCCAGTTTCTGCAGGTCTCGCCCACAACAAAGAACCAACCCCATGTCTTTATCCCCATTTATAACGGCCACTTACTCCCAGCCCCATCATAACACTGAGGGATATTTTGCGTGGTAGCACCAACATGAGTAAACTTACAGGGGCAAGAGTGGTGGTAGGTGCATATAGGGTCCAAATGGAGACCAATAAACCTCTGAGGAAAGTTGTCTCAGTCAACCTTTCATCAAAAATGAGGGGACACTGATGTTTTAGCACCTGGTACTGTAAGAACCCCACGCGTCTTGACGTGGGCAGTTAATACAAGCACTAATAGTCTCATCCAAGGCTGTTAACGGCTCCTGTAGGACCACACAGCCGGCTTTGCAAATTACTCAGTTTGCCCAGCTGCTGATACACCCTGGTATCAGCCCGTCAAGCAGAAGCCAGACCTCCAGCTGCTCTGTGAGGAGGAAAATTGCAGATGAAGCTACAAATTTACTATCCTGGTCGCTCTTTCCAGGATACCTTGATCAGTCAATCACAGTACATGAATTCTGTAGTACATGCGGAGACCCTGAACGATGAGGCTGGTGTCTGAGGGGCGACAAAGACAGCCAGAGCAAACCAGTTAGCAGTAACCCCAACATTTGCTGACCCCACAAACTCTCCTCTCACAAGCTTTATGCTTTCAGCCTAGGTCCAAGGGGAACTAAAATAAGGAGCATATGGATTTATTAAAATATGCTTAAGGCTATAAGAGGAGACAAGGTAAAGGCCTAAAACAAGAACAAAAGAAAAAACCCACTCCCTAACGGATTGAGGAACTTAGCTTGTAAAATAAGATCCAGCAAGTCATACACCCTGGACCTTTGGCCATCCTCAGTACTTTGCAGCACTGAGCTCCCAAGCATTTCTCCCCCATAGCTCATGTGGGGCACGTGTGCATGACATGGTCTGATGTACCCCGGGCTCAGTGGAAGCTGTCTGGACCCTGCAGCCAAACTTTAAGTTACATTTTCTGGGGTGCCATCAACACAAAAGCCCAAAGACCCCTGTGCTTGAGTTTGGGACTGCATCTCAATGCACCACGTGAGGACTCTAGGTTTCCAAATTGCTTCGTGAACTCAAAACATCAGCTAGCTGCAGTTTCTGAGATACTGCAGATTTGCAGCTGCTTCCCCGGGCTCAGCAAAGGTGGATCTGGTGCTAACATAAGGTCTTACTGGCACCAGCAGCATAGGCAGGACCAGGAAACAGAGGCAGCTCCAGAAAAGGTGCTTGAGGCACCAGGTCAATTGAACCCATTGCAACAAACAGTCAGAGCCTCATACACAGCCAAACACAACGAACATAAGCGAATGGGACTCATCACCACCGAGCAGAGGGAAACGTTGTCTTCGTTTTTATCAAGCGAGAAGCCAAGCCTAGGGCACGAAGTACAAAGCTTTCCGCAGCACATACAGGAACAACTTGTAAGACTAAAGAAAGCATACGTATTGTACCAGGCATGAATCTAGCCCCCGCTAAGCGACTGACTCAATGTCCTACTGCAGGTCACTTTAAACATCTGCAAAAGCAAGAAAGCACCCCAAATCCCATGCCCTTCATGGTGATCGTGTGTTCAGAGAGGATCAACCAGCGCTCTCAATTTAGCATTAGGAAGAGGGAGCCAAGGCAAGGTAACTCCCATTACCAGCCTTGTTTGTCCCCTTTGATCCCTGGACAGGAAATGCCAACAGCAGGAGCTGAGGAAAGCCTTAGGGAGAGGCCAAGGGCACACCCAAGAAGAAAGTCTCATTTGCTATGGGACAAGGCTGAGAGAGAAAGTCTGAGCAGCTAGCTGCACAGAGAGGTTAAACTTGAATGCTTATCTGAAGTGAACTGTGAAACTTGTTCAGCCTCAGCCACCACTGTTGTTCAGCCTGCACCACTTCCCTAGCTCTTTCAGAGGTAACGGGCCTGACAGGTCAAGTTCAGCTCCCAGGAAGCCCAAAGAATAAAAAGCCCTCAAATCAAGATACTTGCTACAGGTCTAATATCAGGGAAAAGAAAAGAGCACTAGCATGGAGAACTTAGTTTCTGCTGAAACAGCTGCATTAGGGGGTGTTAACATTGACCTTTTAGTTATCATTAGACTCCAGAGTCAACACTCCTGATAAATGACTATGGAGTGATTGCATCAGTTTGTTTGTGTCTCCAGGAAGAGAGTAGCTCTGGCTGGTCTGAACCTGATCTGAACTAGAAGACAGAGGCACTTAAGGCATATTCATTGGGTGAATTTGTAAGATCAGAATCACCTCCAAGCTGCTCACTAGGCTTGGTGAGCTGGAACAACTCTTTACAGAGAAAATTAGTCAAGCTTAACTATTCTGTGATATCCCTCTAATTTCAGCCTCAGCAATAGCACTTAGCAAGAACAAGTACTGTAAAACCCAGACTGCAGCCCTTTCCCAGGAAATTCAGCTCCGAGATGGACTGCAGGCAGTGCCACGGGGCACGAGCAGTGCCTCAGGGGAGCACGCTCAGGAGGCCCATCCGGGATAAGGAGAGAAGAGGCAGTAATGGAACCGGCATTCCCAACCAAAAAAGTTAGCCGCTACCGAGGCAGCGGTGCTCCTGACGGAGCTCAGCCAGCCCTCGGGAGAAAAGGATGCGTTGCTGCAGTCACTGATCTGCCTTCCTGCTGCCCTTTGAGCCCTGCTCTGACACCTTCCTCGGTTTCACGTGTTCTTCACTATTTTGTTGTGGGGAAGCACAAATGCCCAACTTCCAAGCTGGTGTTCCTCTTGATCTTGCAATTTCGAAACAGTGCAGAGGAGTGCCGTTAGAGGGGATGGCATTAAATCTAAGAACTGGTATTATATTAAAAAGTGAAAAACAAAGATAATAAGGATGCTTAGGGCTTTTGATTGTTACAGAAGACTAAATATAAAGGAGCAGGGGGAAAGGGTTTTATCCATGCACATGAGCCCTAAGGCAAGGATAGCCGTAAGAGGGAAGAAAGCCTCCACTTTCAATTCAGTGCTTGTGAGCACAAGAAAGCAAAGCGGCCAGATTAGCAACCAGTCAGTCACATTTTAAAGAGAATCTTCTCAGTTTAATAACCCAAGATGGCCACAGGGGTTTATCGCCAACAGCGTCTATGCCGTGACTATGCTTCCTCCTTTGATAAGACTATGAGAATAAATTAAATTAGAAACGCAACTCACTGTGGTTTCACGTTCAGCAGCGTGCCCTAGCACACGCATCTCCCGCAGCTGAGGTTTGCGGCAGCCATACGCAACGTGCCAAGCCGAAGAGCAGAATTCAGCTCTGCTGAACAGTGGGCAAGAAGCACAGACCTTCTGGAGAAGCTGCATTCACAAAACAAAGCTATTTTTGCAGTCCTAGGTACCGGTGCCCAAGTTTCAGCCCATGAGGACTTTCTATTAGGGCTGTTGATTAACAACGCAGGTTACGCTAGTGCTCACAAACATCTCTGCGACAGGGCTGGGATAACCAAACCCTTCAGCGCTGGAGCTGCGGAGCTGAAGCAAAGAAAGGCAGGAAGGCTGGCCCACAGCTAAGCAAACGACATGGCAAGATTTAAAACTAATCTCTAGACTCACTGTATTTCACTACAAGAGCAGACACCTTCAAAAACCCCACTTGGATGTAGGCGTAGGAGGAAAAACAGTTCTTTGGACTCCTGATACAACAACCTAGTGCCCCCAGAAAAGACGAAATCTTAATGAGACTTAATATACTCTGCTCATTTTTAGGTGCCTGCCTGACAAACAACCGCCAAACCGCAGTAATTATAACCTCTCAGGGAGGCAATCTAATTGCCGAAACTTAAATACAGTAATAATCCAGAAACACTGGCAGAGGACAGGCTCCTGAACAGAGCAATGCATTCAGAAACATTATTATTCCTTAGCATGAGGTGTATGATTCAAAAAGATGAGATTTAAATGAGGAACTGGTACAAAGTTCACTTTTTTCATTATGACCATGCTACCAGAACTTCACATTTTACATAGCCTTACTACCAGCATGTAAAATAATTACTAAGCCACCGATTTTTAAACAAGTCTCAAATGAGTAACCACTTGGCCACGGTTCTGGGAGACTGCCCTACCTCCCTGCACCCTCGGATGGGGAAGACCGGGAAAGTCATCAGCAGCCTGAGGTTTGAGGGGAAACAACAATTAAGTTTCCTACAATGCAGCCAAGAGGCTGCCACTACATTTTCAGAGAAGATGCTGGGAGCTGCAACAGTCAAACTAGACCCATTCTTCCTGGCTTCTGGTTTGATGGACCCAGTCATTAATCAGATGACCAGGTAACATCCAGAATAGCCTAAGTAGATTAAGCCATGATCCTCCCAAGCCCAGTATCTCATAATCAGCTCTTCAGAAGGCAAATGTAGTAACGAGCAACTTTTCTTCAGGTCCAGAAGTATTTTAGAACAGCTCAAAGCAGCAATTAGCTGACAGCAGGAACTAGTGCTGTCTGAAGGGCACTGCTCTCCAAGACCTATCATTTGCAGATACCTGCTCTCCAAGCAGCTCCTTCATCTTAGAGAAACCCACCCAAATGCCCAGTATTCCTGAGCTTCTCCCAGCCTGCAGCACCTAAACATCTGGTCTGTGCCTGCTTCACTTGGATTTGTTGCTTCTGCAAAGAAAAAAGTTTCTTGTTCTTGTCAGATTCCCCAATTAAATACAAACAGGATCTAAGGAAAACATACTAACAGCAAAGTAAGGGTACAGTTCTCAGGTATAAAGTTGAGAATAAAGTCACACAAGAAATAAAAACAAAGTCCAGACTGA